CAATAAGCAAAATTTGTATCATGGAATTTAAAAATTTGCCAATTTTTCCATTGATAGCACGGACACCATCCCAGGTCGGTTTATAGCACGCACTTTGCTCTTTAAAACGGGACCAAGACAAACCCTCCACGGGCTAGAAAATTCTCTCAAACTCGAGTTCTAAAGACTCAAAAATCAACCTGTTCACCTTCATAGAAGAAACATTTTTGGATAAAATGGCACTCTTTTCGACACCCATGAAGCTAAGAATCTGTGTGCGATATGCACAGATATTACAAAACCAACTTTGAAAATTTGCCACAATTCGTCCTGTAAAAGCACAAGCAATTGGAAATCTTCACTTTAAGATTTATAAACGTTACTTTGTTGTCTATTTTACCAGACTTCATCAGTTTCTTCCTTCAGTGTATACGAGTTTAATCAATTTTTAAAAAAATGCCTCCGTTGCAATTTGCACCTGAGATTCTTGTTCCAAATCCTTTTTATAATTCTGAATTCACTAAGTTCGAAGTTGCTGTGATACTTTACTCATGCTCTTAGAAAGCTTTTAAGAATTCGAGCGTCAGTAGCAATTAATATTTTCCGGTAGAATTCCATTTGCTCGGGAGGCTGAACGTGCATTACTCGTCAAGCCCTTACAAAGACAATAATATCGGCTTAAAACTGCTGGAATTACCATAGATTGTGTAATTAGTGCGCTTAGGACGCGTTTGCCATTATGGTAACTGCAAAACTCTCAAGTCGAAATTTCTAATAGATTTTCCTAGAGGTGTTTAAACCTATTTAAGGGCGGTAATATCCGAATTTCCATTACTTCAGACAATCTGAATAGCATCAGCTGTTTGAATTAGTTAGAACGGCGTCAAATGGTGTTAAAATGTTGGGAAACTAAGACAAGGGATTACCAATTTAAATTCTCAACTTTGGTTTATGAAACGCGCATCGCATTGTGTTTTGATAAGTTTCTTCTCGGTATTCGATTTGCTTGTGTTGGATCAGCAATAAAGGGTTGCCAGGCGTTTTGCACCATATTACGTCTAATTGCACAGAAACTTCCACTTTTCATTACTGACTACCACTTTTTAAACTACTTTGTTCATCGTTCATTGCATGCAAAATTTTGAATTTTTCTAGTTTATCGTGTTGAAGCTTGTGGTGATTCCAAAATGTCATCATTCCATTTTATGGAGTACAGAGAAACCGTAAAAATGATGATTCTAAATTTAAATATAAATTAGAAATTTGGCAACCGAATATTTTATTGCACCTGAGCATGATGTTTTCATCATTAACCTCAAATTTTCCTAATTTGAAAAATGTGTACAGTGTGTTTACTTAAGTTTACATACGGGAAACTTTTTTATTATCAATATTACGAAACAAAGTGATTCTTCATAAAAAGTTCTGCTTGGTTCAAAACTTAAAATGCAAGTCAGATATTATTTTTTCCAGTCCTTTACGAAGTGTACCAGAAAATATGAAATATTCTCAAGAGTAAAGTAGGTACTTTCATTTTCAAAAATATCGAAAACTGTTGTTAAGAAAACTTGATCAACATTAAAAACTACATTAAAATATGCAATTACATCCAATTACATTGATTTTTTCTGCTTTTGCAACAATAACAATGTAAATGTAGGAAGCTCACTGTAGTTATGTGAAATGTAGAATACACTGAGAAAAAATCAAAATAATGCAACATAAAGGTTGAGGAACGTAAATGTTATCAAATGTTTAACGAATGATAAAACTTATTACAGATTTCAATATTTACAAAAATAAATTTACTTTAGTGTGGGGCAAAATTCATATTTTCTGACAAACCTCGTATACGACTGAAAAATGTTATTTCCGATAATTGAATTTTATTAAATATCTTATCGGCCCCACAGCGTTCGTCCGGTAGCACTTTTGCTAATT